CCCCCTGGCTGTGGTATCCTGGCCCAGACTAACATGCCAGCCGCAAGGCTACACCGCTGTAGCAGCGCTCTTGGGATTTATGGGTCGACACAGTATTTTATTTCGTCAAAGATTTAGGCCCCGTTTGAAATGTTGGATTTTTTTAAAAAAATCTATATCTTCCTATGGAATTAGAATGATTTCTATGAAATTCTTGTGTTTCAAACGTGTCATATACTGTATCTCATATATTTTTTTCTGAAAGTTTAAGCGCCCTGATGTATTGTGCATTTGTGCTACAGTACTGCTGACGTTGTGGTTTTGCTACATACAAAGCGTCTGGCCGGTCGTGGGCCAAACAGCAAGACGGACGGATGGATTATGTATAGGAGGGGGACGGCCGGACGGCCAACGGCCTACCTAGGTCGGTGGCAGATTCCAGATCGACTCGTTGTGTGTTGTGTGAAATGAGATATACGCCCTCTGTAAAAGAAAAAACATTACAAGACGTTTTGAATCTTTTCTAGATACATAATTTTTGCTATACATTTAGATATACATTGTGTCTAGATAAATAATAAAATAATATATCTATAAAAGCCTAAAAGCATTGTAATTTGAAATGGAAGGAGTACAATTCTTACTTTTTGAGGTGTCAAATGATTTAAATTTTGACAGTAGTTATATAAAACGTACTGATATTTATGATACAAATAAATATCATTAAATCATTTATAAAATAGTTTTTTGTAGTAAATTAGTTGGAGACATAAATGTAACAACATTCACATAAATTTGATCAAAGTTCAGCTCCCGTAGTTGCATCCTTTTGTAGATAGAGGGAGTAGATTCTATTTCTATCCATATTAAGTCATGTAGATATCAGTAATTTTGCATCCAATAGTTGCATTCTTGCTTTTTTTGTACCGGCCTATGTTGAGCCGATTTAGGCCTCCTACACCCTGGGCCTGGCCCTATTTCATTTTCACCCTGGGCGTGCCGCCGTGGTATCCTGGCCCACACTAACATGCCAGTCGCAAGGCTGCACCGCTGTAGCAGCGTTCTTGGGAGGCCGACATACCATTACTTCATCGATGATTTACATCCCGTTTGAAATGTCGAAATTTTTTAATCCTATGTTCTCCTATGAAATTAAAATGATTTCTCTAAAACTCTTATGTTTCATACGGGTCATATATTGTATCTCATATATTTTCTTTTTTTCCTATGCCAATATTAGACATGTTTGGATCATACCGAAGTTTACCACACCGAACTTTAGACAAACCATAGATAGCACAGAAAAGTGGGCAACCAGAAGGCACTGCCTTTGGAGAGGGGCAGAAGCTAACACCAGCATGGCCAATGGTTTGTATCCCAAAGGATGAAGGGGGATTGGGGATCCTAAACCTGCAAACTCAAAATGAGGCACTGCTGCCCCAAAAGGATCTTTTTGGTGGCGTGATGTCTTAAAACTGCTGGACAAATATAAGAGTATGGCATCAGTTATCATCTCTGATGAAAAATCATGTTTGCTCTGGGAGGATCTTTGGAATGGTCAAGTCAGAAAATTTCAATTTCCTGAGCTTCATTCTTTTGCTAAAAACAAGTCTAAGTAAAGCACACACTGCAAGCACAGTATCTGATTTTTTTTACATGCCAATATCAGTGGAAGCCTTTGAACAGCTGCAAGAGCTAGAAACTGAATTCTCTTCAATAATCCTCACTCCCATGAGTGATAGTTGGACTTATATATGGGGATCCTCACAATTCTCTTCCTCCAAAGCCTACAAACTGCTCACAGGACATACCCAAGTTGACCCCACCTTCAAAAGGCTTTGGAAAACTTTTTGCCAAAGTAAACACAAAGTCTTCTTTTGGTTAGTAATGAAAGACGGGATAAGTACAAGAAACATGATGAGAAGGAGAAGAATGCACCTAGATGATTACAATTGTGTTCTCTGTCAACAGCAAACTGAAGAAACACTAATGCACCTACTCTTCTACTGCAACTTTGTCAAGAATTGCTGGTGGGCTCTGAACTTTGCATATGCAGGCAACCTCTCAATCTTCCATATTGTTGAGGATTGGAGAAATTATGTGTCTGCTCCCTTTGCTTTAGACATCTTTATTCTTGTATGCTGGTCCATCTGGATGGTGAGGAATGGCGTTATCTTCAAGAACAAGGTCGCTTCAGTTGATGATTGTAAGAGGAACCTCACGGCTGAAGCACTTATGCTGCAACACAGGACAAAAGCAAGGATCACCCCTCTCTTAGAATCATGGATTCAGTCTCATTTGTAATTTACCTGATCTTCTTCCTCTCTTTCTTTGTTTCCTGAACCCCATCTTCTCTTTTCTCTCTCTTTAATATCTCTCTTTGTGTATTCTTTGTATGTCTTTTTTATTTATTAGATTGCAGTAGGAGCTTCTTGCACCTCCTGATTCCTAAAAAAACAGAAGGGCCTGCTTGGTTTATGTCCCAAACTTGCCAAACCAGAACTCTTGCGTGCCACACTCACTTCTGGCATTGTTTGCTTCTTGATGCATCTCTGGCATGGCGCACTTCAATATGCTTGTTTGTTGTGCTCAACTACTACTTTTGACGCCAAGCGTTGGCCTAGCAAAATGGGCGCCAGACTTTTAGCAGGGTTAGAGATTAGTTACGGCAACCTATGGTCACAAAGCCAAACAGACCCGAAAACCAGTCTATGGTGTGTGTGGAAAAAGGTGCTAAAAAGGCACATCATAATTGCGGCAATAAACTAAACGCACGTGCTATGAAACTTTGGTATGCCTAACTTGTGACATGACACTCTTGTTAAGTCACGTAGATACTACACATATAAGTCATATTCTCATTTCATGGAAATAAATTTTGTCCAATAAAGTACCGTCTCTTCTACACATATTGTTATTGTTATATCTTAGTTTCGACATAGACATGATTTGCCTAAAAAATCATATTCTCCTCCCTCTATTAATTATCGTGTCACGTTACCATTTTGCTAAATTGACAAACTAATAATTAATAAATATAGAAACTATCTAGTTTCTAGGTTGGTAGGGCCCCATCTACGTTTCTTTGTGACACACCGAAGTACTCCGTACTACCAAACAGAAAGTTTGGAGCACCAAGTACGTTTGAGCATCTCGGCATCAGCCCTTGAAAGCGTTGACGATGTGTACAGTACTGCTGCTATGTTCTACTCCATCCGTTCAGAAAAAAACGTAATTCTAGTTTTGAATTTGGACACGAGCGTCGTGTCTAGGTTTAAAGTTAGAATCACGTCGTGTTCAGGTTCAAAGTTAGAATTGTGTTTTTTTAAGAGTAGTTAAACAGAATCGTTGGCAGTTGACATGTTCTGTAGCACGGACGACAAGTCCGGAGATCGACTGCTCCGCGCCTCCGCCTGCTTTTGGCCAGATTCCTAGGTCGTACGCGCTGCCGGAGACGGCGCGCACGTGGCACTGGCGTATCCATGCGGGACAAACACCGGCCACCTGCTTCATCGCATCTTCATCCGGTTCACGCATCCCCCTGGTTCAGATGGCACATCACTGAGAAAAGGGCAGGCCTTTTTTGTTTCACGGAAGGCAGCAGCAACCGAAAAAGGCAGCTAGCTACCTCGGCACCAATTCGTGCCTGACTGAGTACTGCGTCACAAAAACAGTAGTGGCATAACTGGCCCATAGAAAACGCGTTTCGTTATCAAGGGTTCGCCGCTCGCATTGTTCCATTGGCAAAACTCTGATTAGGGGGTGTTTGTTCCGGCGACTAAAATTTAAGAGGTGTGTCGGAAGGATGTTGTATGGGGTGTTTGGATACTAATAAAAAAACAAATTACATAATCCGTCAGTACTCCACGAGACGAATTTTAAGCCTAATTAATCCGTCATTAGCATTTTATTGTAGCAAAACATTGTCAAATCATGGCCTAATTAGACTTAAAAGATTCGTCTTGCAAATTAGTCGCAAACTATGTAATTAGTTTCGTAATTAGTATATATTTAATACTTCATGCGTATGTCTAAACATTCGATGGGACAACGACTAAAATTTAGGAGGTCCAACCAAACATCCCCTTACACGCGACGCTCAGCTCGTTGAGTTTCCTGCGGGGGAACTTGTTTATCCGGGTTTAAGTTTTCGATTTGACACGAGTGCTCATTTTTTTTTTGATTTATTACAGAATCTAAGTTATTCTTTTAGTGGTAGATGACTTGTCCGAGTCTAACTTAGGGGGTGTTCGGATCCCGTGACTAAAATTTAGGAGGTATGTCGGGAGAATGTTGCATGGGGTATTCGGATACTAATAAAAAAACAAATTACATAATCCGTCGGTACTCCACGAGATGAATTTTTTAAGCCTAATTAATCCGTCATCAACACATGTTTATTGTAGCAAAACATTGTCAAATCATGGACTAATTAGGCTTAAAAGATTCATCTCGTAAATTAGTCGCAAACTATGCAATTAGTTTCGTAATTAGTCTATATTTAATACTTCATACATATGTCCAAACATTCGATGGGACAACGACTAAAATTTAGGAGGGGCAACCAAACACCCCCTTAGTTCTTCGTACGTGCTCATAAGTACAGTGAGATGCTCATAGGAGTATGGTGTGTTCTTCGTAGGTGCTCATATGGATAAGGAAATGCTCATAGGAGTAGGGTGTATGTACATGCGTATATAATGACGAGTGTATGCTCTGGGTCTCGAAAAAAAAAACTCTTTATCACACAATGTGCTCCAGAAGCAAACGACAAGAGGTGGGAAATGCAATTGCAATGCATATCTCATCAGACTATTGTCATGTCTTGTGCTTGTACACATTTAAATCCAGTCATCAACAAAACATAAATACGGTCATCTGTTGCTTCATCAGTCCTAATAAAGTTACACATGCGTGTAACTTCTGTACAAACCCGCAGCTAGAACGACAAATACTCATCAACAAAATCTTACAAACCCACACTAATAAAAATCCCATAACCCATAGCAGCTCTGAGATTTTCACAAGGAGCAGAGAGGACACCGCACTAGCCCGTTCTCGTTGCACTCGGGGCACCGCCTGAAGGTGCCCACTTCCTCGAGGAACACCTTGCAGCTGCCGGAGCACTCCTCGCAGGGCACGAACCGCACGCCGCCGCAGCCGGAGCACGCCTCCAGGGCAATGCCCTTGCCGCCGGATCTCGGCGGGGGCGCCATCTCGCAGGCCTCGAGCGCCTTCGACAGCTCGCCGGCCTCATGCATCCGGCGGACCTCCTCGGCGCCGCCCAGGTGCCTGCCGTCCGCGAACACCTGCGGGAGCCTGCTGCCCGCGGTGGAGCCCAGCGCGGCGTGGAGCTCGTCCTTGAACCCGGAGTGCATCGACAGGTCGCGCTCGTCGACGCGCACGCCGTAGCTCTGCAGAATGGACTTGGCGGACCAGCAGTCCTCGTACGTCTTGCGGATGCCGCGGAGGCTGGTCAGGTACAGCACCACCTTCCGGGTGCTGTCCGGCTGGGGCGGCAGAGCCGGTGGCTGCGGCTGCGGCGGCGCCAGCTTGGCGAGCCTTGCGTCGATCCTCTGCTGGAACGCGCTGACCCGCGCGCGCACGATGCCCGGGAACCTCTGTATCTCACGCTTCTTGACGCCCACCTGGTCGCCGCCCCCGCCACCGCCCGGGCCGTCAGGCTTCTTGATACACTCCTCGTTGCCGGGGGGGTCGTCCGGCGGCGGGGGTATCTCATCCAGCGCCTTCCGGAACGCGGCGATGACGTCCGGATCGAACTCGGGCGATCCTGGGGCCGACTTCTCGCGCCGCTCCTCGCCGTCGGCGTCGCCGTCCTCGTCCTTGTCGTCGAGGCCGTCCATGAGCTCCCACACGTTGATCACCTCGGGCTCGCGGACCTGCGGCGTCTTGGCCGGCGAGCCCGGCACCTGTTTCTGCCGCCGCATCAGCTGCGGCTTCAGCGGCAGCGGCGGCGTCGTCTTCGCCGCGCCGACACCGCCGTCGTCGCGCCACTTCATTATCTCCTCCTCGTCCCGGTCGAGGCTGAGCGACCCCAGCGTGGAGGACTTGAGCGCTACGGTGTGGTGAACGCCGCCGGAGAGGCTCCGCGCGTGCGGCGACCGGCCGCCACCCCGGACGCCGCCGCGCAGCGCGTGCCTGGACCCCGTGCAGCCCATCGGCCAGCCGCCACGGTACGATCCAGAGAGCAACCCCGATCGAATCGGCAGCGGTAAGGCACAGTAGCGCAATGTCGGCGGGGAGCCTTGTTGGAGGAGCACTGGACCATCCCTCGACAAGAGCAGAGCAGCTGGGCCAAGAACAGCGAGGTCGAACAGCTAGCTGCGGCCAATTCAGAGGAAGGAACCGGTAGGTAGCTGGGCGCGTCGCCCCCGCCCCCGTCCTCTCGCCACCAGTCCAAGCGCGGATGGGGTCAGTCAAGCGTGGGGGAGCTGCACGGCGATCCTGGCGGGGAGGTAGACGGAGTGGCGAGGTGGGCGAGATCTGATGCAGGGCGAGGTTGGCTTGGCTGCGATGCGAGGGGGGAAAGGAAAGGGAGGAAACGCTTTAAGCCGCGCGAGTAATGGAGCGTTTCGGGTCACGGCCTCACGGCACGGGCGGGTGGCCGCCGTGTCCGCGCGTAAAGCGTAATAACTCGCGCGTTTCGGTTGGGAGTCGTGGACTCGTGGCCTCGTGCCCGTGCCCGTGCCCGTGCCCGTGTCTTCGTGGAGTGGAGTCCCCGGCCGCGCTGAACAGGTGGGCGGAATCATTGCCCGCTGGTCAGTGCCCGCCGGGAAGCGGCTCCTGGTGCCTGTGATAGGCTGGAACTAGGGGAGCCGGGATTATCCGCATCGGCGGGAGAGACTACGGGCGCGTTTGGTTCTCTTCTGGGTACTGGCCGGCTCGGCTCTCGGGAGACAGGCTTTCACGGGCCAGCAGCGAGCGAGCGAGGCTCCGGAGAAACGAGATCCAGTTTCGTTTCCCGGGAGCCAGGTTGAGTGCTGATTTCTGCACGCGAAGGCACGAGCCAGACGGAGATGCAAGCAACCAATCGCCCTTCAGTTGCACGCGCGGAGCCTGGCTAGCGGTGCTGCAGCCAACCAATCACTCGTCGAATGCATGCGTCGAGCCTGGTCAGGCCGCATACAAGCAACCAAACGCGCCCTACAGCATCGGATCGAGCAGTCCAGCGGCTGTACCAGAACTTCGGGCCACGATCCTCCGAGCACAGGAGTTAGGATCAGCCTCTGCGCGCACAAGTAACTTGGACGCCCGTACGCTGCTAATATGCCAGACCTGTCAATTCGGCAGCATCTGCGATGTAGTGTCCGGCTCCGTTCGAAAACAAACCGAAACACTGTTTCAGCTGGTTTATTGTGAGAAAAATACTGTTCCGGCTGAAAAACAAGCTAAAACACTGTTTCAGCTAATTTGCTGTTGTTTCGACTAATTTTTTATAAGAGAAAAACATTAAAACAGATTATAAGAGAAACGACCAGAGCCTCTAAGCGCCCATGGTGATTGGATTTCCATTTTCTAGGGGCCATTGATGGTCTAAATCCTGTTGCAAGTTGTTTCGACTTGCGAACCAGTGGGAATGTGTGCGCGCGAGCTCGCTTAGAATTTGCGGGAACATTTTGAGTGCATCTACCTATCTGATCGTCAGGTAGGTAGTAGCTTGGTTTTTAACCTTGCTGCGAGTACGGTTCGTGGACCACTCATGTCGCCTACTGTGCCTTCTATTTTTGAACCCAGCAAGCCGGGCATTCGAGGACAGTGAATTCTGAGGCCTGGTTCAGTTTTAAAAAGTTTTTTCAAAAAGTGCTATAGTAGCCATCATATCGAATCTCGCGATACGTGCATGGAGCATTAAATATAGACGGAAAAAAACTAATTACACAGTTTAGTGGAAAATCGCGAGACGAACGTTTTGAGCCTAATTAGTCCATGATTGAACACTAATTGCTAAATAAAAACGAAAGTGCTACGGTAGCTAAATTCTCAAATTTCGCGGAACTAAACAAGGACGGTGTTTAGTTGGGCTTGCACAGTGAAGATTCCCTGCTGTAGCATTTTCGTTTGTATTTATGAATTATTGTCCAAACATTGACTAATTAGGTTTAAAAGATTTGTTTCGCAAAGTTAAAGCAAACTGTGTAATTAGTTTTTGATTTCGTCTATATTTAGTACTTCATACATATACCATAAGTTTGATGTGATGGAAAATCTTCTTTTTATATAGTACATTTTTCAGGAGTTTTGAGGAATTAAAAAAGGACGAGGCCTGAACTTGAATTCGACGCCGCGGGCAAGGCAAGCTTAGCTTGCAACGAACGAGAACGATGCGAGCGATGGAATAGTAGCAGTCACACTGCCTCAGGCACCTGTCGCCGTCGCTGCAACGCAGCAGCTTCGCCCTTTTCTCTTTGTCGCTTAAGAAAACTCCGCAATTGCACAGCTGAAACAGCGAGGCGTCGTCGGGTGTCACTGTCTGTCACCCCACACCCGGTAACGTACCAAGGCCCAGTTTAGATGGTAAGTTTTTTCACTCTTTTTTCATCACATCAAATCTTTAGACACATATATGGAAGTATTAAATGTAGATAAAAAAAATAATTAATTACACAGTTTGATTGTAAATTACGAGACAAATCTTTTAAGCATAGTTAGACCATGATTAGACAATAATTATCAAATATAAACAAAAATACTACAATGTCATATACTGATTCATAAACCCCGATCTAAACGAGCCATGTCAATCCGCCGACGCGCAAGCGCATATATCAACGACGTACTGAAACTGAAAGCTCAGGCCTCAGCTCAGGGTCTGAAACTCTGAATTGGGAACCGGCCAAAGGTTTTACACAGTCCAACGCGCACCGCCAAGTACTTTGCTCTTCCGTCAGGTCAGGTGACCGCGCTCGCAGAACACTTCAAGCTTTGAACGGCGCTGCCGCGATCTCACCGACGCGCGCCGCGGGAGTTGTTGGACCAACGCGAGGGCGATTCGAAGTTTCCGATCCTTTCCGGCACGAAAGCTGGGCAGTATTTCGCTTGTTGGTTGGTGGCGCCGAGTGCCGACCGCCGACCGCCGACTGCTGACCGTGCCGAGCAGGTGATGGTGAGTGCCCGTGCCCGTCGGCTGCTTCCACTTCCAGCCAGGAGTGGCGGCGTGGGTGGCATGGCATGTCAACTCACCTGCCCAGCTTCAGCAATCAGCAATTCAGCACTAGTCGGTGGTTTGTCGTCGGGTTCTGAATTCTGATGGTTCCCGGTTAGTAGTGCACCGCACTTCTTTGGGGTTTTGCTTATTTTTTGTGCTGATGTCTGCTTCTGATGGCGAGGAGGGCTATTTTTTTGACTCCCAGTTCGGGACAGGTTGGATCTGGGATTTGCCGGATTGGTTTGGTTGCATGACAGACAGGTATGCGTGATCCATCGAATTGGCTCTGTCTGTGATTACCTGATTGGGATGGGAGATCGGGATTGTTCTTCTTCTTCTTCTTCTTCACGCGCGTGGAGGACCACGGTACGGCGGGTTAAATGATACTATCGGTCACGGCGAAAATATTCGTAAATAGGATCGGTGAAAAGTGATCGGTCGTAGGTCGTAGCTCGCAAAGTGCTGACATGTGTAGCAGTCTCCATGAAGCAGCACTACTGAAACAAAACCTTTCTGATATCGGGTTTGCATTGGCCGGGGTCTTAGCCAGCGCATTTACCGTTCAACAATTCCGAGCCACCACACTGAACTGAAGACTCATCTGTCATCTCAGCTCAACTAGAGTAACTGTGAAGACGAGTACACCACTTTTCGGTGAGCTGTAGTCGCCTGCTGCTGAATCTAGAAAGGGAAAGAAAAAATTGGATCTATAGCATTAAAAGATTACAAGAATCGAAAAATACCATCGAAAGAGGAAATTTACGTGGAAAAATACCATCGGAAGATGACCACGTTTCGGTGAGCAATAGCATTGCCGCTGAACGAAAGGAAAGAAAATGGATCGTCGTTAGGTCCATAAAAAATACCATCGAAGAGCTCAACTTACCAAAAGATGAAAACATTAAAAAGTCAAGCCATGGCGTTAGGCTGATCTCAAGCCAAGGTGGATAAACCTCTAGATGGGGTGCACGGTGTTTTTGGATTCTTTTCTGATTTAATTGTATTTTCGAGAGGGAGGCACAAGCTAGAAGTATACCAAATGAAGCAAAAAAAGAAGCCATGGCGCGGTGAAGCCTGTGGTTCCTCCGGATGGCAAGCCTCTCGGCCTTGAATGGCGGAACTAGCGAAAGCGGTGAAGCTTGGCTTGAGCGTCCTGAGCGTCCTCTCGCGTGAGCATTGCCGCCGGCGCGCGGCGCCGTCTTTCTACCAAGAGCTTTGCTGATGGGAGCGGATGCAAGCCAACGCGGCTGGACGCTTTTTCTCTTGTGCTCGTCATCGATCTCTCGTGGCCGGGAACACCAGGTTGACGACCACGGGCCGTGTCATTGTCGACCTTGATGCGTTCATGGCGACCATCGTCTCGAGTCTGGATCATCCACGATGCCTTGAACTTGAATCTTAGGTTGGGGCACCCGCTCGCGAACCGCGCCCGACCACGTGCCCACACCTCGGTTTGCCTCGGCTCGTCGAGTTTGTGCGAGGCCGGTGATTCGTGAGGGAAAATGGCTCGTCGAAGTCGCCCGTCGTCGTGTGAGCTGCTTTGCTCATGCTCATGGCGGCGGCGGCGCGAGGGGACCGGATTGAGGAGAGCTCGACGAAGCGACCGGTGTTGCTCGAACACGAGAGAGGAACACGCCGAGAGCCTGTTCATCGAGAGCCGCAGGACGCGCACCGCCGGAGACGAGAAGTTGAGCACGCGGAGCACCAGGAGGCCCAGGAGGTCGATCACCGCTGTTCCAGGACTCTAGCCAGCCCATCGGCGAGCACGTTGGCGCTGACGTCGAGCACCTCGAGGGTCCGGCCGTCGGAGCGAGGAGCGAGAGCGCGGCAGCAGCGCCACGGATCGTGTTACTGAGAGGTTGAGCACCACCGGGCGCGGCGAGGTTTGGCGGCGGCAGCCACCGCCGCCCCACAGCGTCGAGTTGGCAGCGCCAAATGACCACGCATGGCGACGCCGTCTCGGCCTTGCCGCACATCACTCCGTTCCAGACGCAACCCCCATTGTCTGACGCA